AGAATGTCTAACTCACCAACCCCGCAAACGAAAGGGTATTGGTCTCCGTCCACGCATGAGTTGTTTCTCGATCTGTTGATGCAAGAGACTCTGAGAGGAAGTAGACCGGATTCACATTTTACCAAGGAGGGATGGAAGACGATTCTTGAGACTATCAATGAAAAGACGGGCTTAAGTTATACGAGAGCGCAGTTGAAAAACCACTGGGATTGCACAAGGAAATCGTGGAAAATCTGGTGTCAAGTCGTCGGTATAAGTAGTCTGAAATGGGATCCGGATACTCGTACATTTGGTGCAACAGACGAGGAGTGGCGAAGCTATTTACGGGTAATGCCAAATAACTTCATCAACTAATTTTCGGAATAGATCTTATTTCGCGAGTTTTGAAAGATTGGGTCTTTCTGGTTTTCTTAGATAAATCCAAGAGCATCACAATTCAGAAACAAGCAAATTCCTCATCCTGATAAGCTGGCAATCATCTTTCATGGAGTCATAGAACCTGGAGCTCCATATTCTCCGCCTCCTCAGCGCAAGAAACTCCGTTCTCGTTCTGAAACGCCGCATTTCCATGACCCGACTCCACTATCAGTCCTGCACATGAACGAAGCAGCCATAACCAGTCCAGATGGAGAAGACATTTCACCCACTATCCACCCGAGGTTAAATGGCGGTTTCTCAGAATCTCGGTTGCAAGAAGATGAGGCAGCTCCCATGGACAGGGAAGCCAACCAGCAGTTCGAGGTTGTCGAGTGCCGGAGCAATGTCACGGTGAACGAGAGCCCGATGGCTGTCCCTATCGTATCGGAAAAGCTTCAATACTCGATCGGGGAGTGCATTGAATGCCTTGATGCGATGGAAGAGGTGGAGCAAGGGAGTGATCTCTACTTGTTCGCGCTGGACATATTCCTCAAGAAAGAATACAGAGAGATCTTCCTGAATTTGAAGAAACCGGGTTTGAGAGTTGCTTGGTTGCAGAGACTTCTGTCCGGCGGTCCTTCTGTAAGTCTTTAGCCAAGAAAAATGCCCCCTTTCATACTTCGTTTCCATCGATAGATATGCCGAAATTGTTAACCGTTAACCGTGTGCCATTCCGGATTGAGAAAACATGATGTAAGAATCAAAGCCTGAAGTGCCAAGTTGCAGTAAATGCCGAGTCTTTTTGTTTCAGACCAAATATTTCAATCTCTCCGACATTTTGTAGCTTTGGATTATAACCGAAGCGAAGCTCTGGTTTCTGGAAGATTCCATCAAATGGGAGGTGAGATTTGATGAAAAGTTTGAAGATGTGCTGAAACTGAGGCTAATACAGACGACTGTGTTACTTCGCAGCACCTTCATGAAAGCTACGCTGCAACTTTTTTCCCGAGTTACTTGTTCTACAAGTAATCACTTTGAGCTCCATCTAGATGGGAACAGGAACAGGGCTTGTCCCATTCTCGCAAACGAGAAGTAAACTTCAGTCCGAGTTGAAAAAATGGCTGCAACAGTTTCAGCACCTTCTTTGTGTAGTTTTGAAGTAAAAAAAAAAGAAAGAAAAAAAAAAATGATGAAACCCAGAAGATTTTATAAGTCCACCTAACTTATTACAAGGACATTGCAGCATAAACTTCCATTTAAAGCTGTGTCATAGATTCGCCTGTCGGAACTCAGAGTTCAAGAAAATGGCTTCCTCTGTCCAGTTAACGCTTCTTCTCTTAGCTCTGGCTTTTCTGGTTCTGGCTGATGCGAAGATTCGCCGGTACAAGTTCGATGTGAGTCTTCCTTTTCCACTGTTAACAGTGTCTTGTCCTGACGGAAATGAATTTAAAAAAAAAAAACTGTGAGCAGGTGGTGATGAAGAACACAACTAAGCTCTGTTCAACGAAATCAATAGTCACCGTCAATGGGAAGTTCCCTGGACCGACTCTTTACGCGAGGGAAGACGACCAAGTCATCGTTAACCTCACGAACCATGTCAACTACAATGTTACCATACACTGGTCAGTATCCGAAATTTGGATGCCCGATGCAGATCGATGGCTATCCGAAATTCGGGTTCAGGGGCTTAGTCTTGTAATTCTCTTGGTCTTGCAGGCATGGTGTGAAGCAACTTAGGACAGGATGGTCAGATGGACCGGCCTATATAACTCAATGTCCGATCCAACCGGGAGGAACTTTTATTTACAACTTTACCCTCACGGGCCAACGAGGAACACTCCTCTGGCACGCCCACATCTCGTGGCTAAGGGCGACGGTTCACGGCGCCATCGTCATCTTGCCCAGACACCGAGTGGCTTACCCTTTTCCCCGGCCTCACAAGGAGAAAATCATCATTTTCGGTGAGCATATAAGCCGATCTGAGATCGGGTATCGGCCCTTATTAGATCGTAATTCGGATTCTCAGAACTGTTTCTTTGATGGATTGATGCAGGAGAATGGTGGAAATCAGACGTTGAGGCTGTGATTAATCAGTCCACATTCACCGGTTTACCTCCTAATGTCTCAGATGCTCACACCATTAATGGACAGTCCGGTCCTCTCTTGGGCTGTAACTCTCCCGGTAACGGATCTCTGTCTCTGATTCTTCATGTCGGATCTCATTCCACTGATGAAAATTTACGATCTTTTCGGTTATTTCAGGTTACACTTTGCATGTCGAGAGCGGGAAAACGTACATGTTACGGATCATCAATGCTGCACTGAATGACGAGCTCTTCTTCAAGATCGCCGGCCACACCTTAACTGTCATCGAAGTCGATGCTTCATACACGAAACCCTTTAGTGCAGACACGTTGTTTCTCGGTCCTGGCCAGACAACGAACGCTCTTCTTACCGCAGATCAGTCCTCAGGAAAGTACTTGATCACGATCTCTCCGTTCATGGACACGATTGTCACAGTGGATAACGTAACGGGGACAGCTTTCTTGCATTATAACGATACAACCTCGTCTCCTTCCCTCGTTTCAGACAAGATCCCTCCTGTAAATGCGACGAGCGTTGCTCTCGGCTTCTCAGACAATCTCAGAAGCCTAAACTCGAGAGATTACCCGGCGAATGTCCCGTTAAGAGTCGATCATTCGCTGTTTTTCACGATAGGTGTCGGTATAAACCCTTGCGAAACATGCATTAACAACACTAAGGCTGTCGGAGATATCAACAATGTCAGCTTTGTAATGCCGACCATTGGTATCCTTCAAGCTCATTACTACAACATAAGCGGCGTTTTCACCGACGATTTCCCGGGGAAACCCTTGATCCCGTTCAACTACACGGCTAATAATTCCACGGCGAATATGAGGACGATGAACGGAACGAAGGCATATAGGCTCGCGTATAACTCGACCGTACAGCTTGTCATACAAGGAACGAGCGTTATAGCACCCGAGAGCCATCCCACCCACCTCCACGGATTCAATTTTTTCGTGATCGGAAAAGGCGTTGGGAATTTCGACCCGTTGAATGATCCGAAGAAGTTTAACCTCGTCGATCCGGTCGAGAGGAACACCGTAAGCGTCCCTACTGCGGGATGGACTGCAATCCGGTTCAGAGCCGATAATCCTGGTGAGTTGATCTCGTACAATTCTATAATAGATTAAACACGATTTTATCCAAATCTTGAGCATTGATTGACGAATTCTATCGAAAATATAAACCGGGTTTGTGTCGAATCAGGGGTTTGGTTCTTCCATTGTCATCTGGAAGTGCACACATCGTGGGGATTAAAGATGGTGTTTCTTGTGGAAAACGGCAAAGGTCCGAATGAAACGCTTCTTCCTCCTCCAAGCGATCTCCCTAAGTGTTAAAAGAATTGATCTATCGAATAAATTCGGTTTTCGGTTTTCGGGAAAAAGTGTCTGAAACTGGAAAAAAAAAATCTTGTCTGAGATTCAATAAAGACGAAGAAGAGGAGGAAGGAGAAGAGGGTTGCTTGCGTTTGAAGTTAGGGCTTGAAAAGTGTTGTGCTTCATATCGTTCTTAATTTAAAATGTTTTATTGGTCCGACATGAGAAAGTAATGAATTTTTATGTGCTTTATTTTAATTCAAAATATTTATAAAAAAAAAAAATTTAGACGCGTCGCTCGTGTGAATGAGGAATTTTATGGCCAAATGATTGTTTCTTTTTTTTATAAAAAAAAAATCATATTGTCCATAAAAAAGAACGGTTCTCCTTATCTTTGTCATTAGCATTATTAAAGGTCACTAAGCATTTATTAAGGTGTGATTATCATTTATCATATCCAAACGTTCTATAAAATAGAATTATACACAACAAATGATACCTGGATAGATCATATATAAAATCCATTAACATATGATTATTCTTTTTCAATATTTTTAAAAAATGCAAAAAAAAACAATCTGAATAACACATAACGTATATTATGTTTTTTTAAAACATATTTCGAATTCCAGATTCCATGATTATAAATCATCATTTTTTTTGGGATTTGTATAAATATTTGTAACCAGGGATCTAATAAATCTCATGTACCGATTATTCCCTCGTATATTTATATATTAGAGTTTTGGGGAAATGGCGAGTCCCACTTGCTCGTATCGTCACTGCAGCCACAAAACTAGTTGGGTTCGAACCATGTGAATGAACCGACTGACGTGGAATTGTATAAAACAATCAATGTGAAATGATCTTATCTCTCATAGAACGTTTTACATTAAATATATATATATATATATATATATGTCATAGTTACATTAATAGATGTAGTAATATGGTTAAAAGAAATATTTATTTTTGCCCTAGTTTTTGTAATTTCTTTTTATTGTTAGCTTTTTAAAAAAAATTGGTAGTATTTATATCTTTGTTTATGTGACGATATTATCATCTCTATATTCGTAACCCGAAAAAGACGAAAATCAAATTGTCATTATTGTATTGTAACGTGTATTTTTATTTATTATGTAATAGTAATGGAACCTTTTTTTCGTAAAATTTGAACAAGTAGGCCGAGTGAGAGAGATCCTTCTCTCTCTCTCTCTCTCTCTCTCTCTCTCTCTCTCTCTCTCTCTCTCTCTCTCTCCCCTTTGTAAAGCAGAAATCTACAGAACAAACATCACTTTCACCACTATAAGACACATCACAACACACACCCATCTTCTTCCTTCTTCCTCAAGAACCCTCCTTTTTCTCCATCTCTCCCATCAATTTTCTCTCCTGGGTCTCCGATTTTCTCGCTCATTCTCTGGTTTTTCCTCCGATTCTCAGAGAAAATCCATCTGGGTTTCTCTTGTTTTCTCCTCAAACGCTTCGGATTTTGTTCTCCTTTTGCAGATTCTCAGGGATTCTTTTCAAAGCTGGGGTCTTTTTCGGATTCGTCGGTTTATGCCGATCGCATCAAAGCAAGCTTCTTGATTCCCTTAGTATACGATTCTTTGATTTCCCTTTCTCCTCAGATTCCTATATCATATCCTACAAAAAGCTTCAGTCTTTCTGGTTAACAAATCACCGCCCCACCTTCAGACCACCAGAGTATGACCCTTTTCGAGCTCTCTTCGTAGCGAAAACGTTTCTTGCGCCTTAAGCAAATGGAAACTCTCCACCCTCTATCTCACGTCTCCATGTCTGATCGGTTCGCGCACGAGATTATGAACAGGAGCGGTACGTGGACTAAAGAAGAGAACAAGAAATTCGAGAGAGCCCTCGCCATTTATGCGGAGGACACACCGGATCGATGGTTCAGAATCGCTGCTATGATTCCCGGGAAGACGGTTTCTGACGTGATGAAGCAATACAACAAGCTTGAAGAAGACGTGTTTGATATCGAGGCTGGAAGAGTACCGATTCCCGGTTACCCTCCATCCTCCTTCAGGTTCGATCACCGTGATTTCGACGCCAATAGAAAACGACCTATTGGAGGGAGAGGAACCGAACAGGAGCGGAAGAAAGGTGTCCCTTGGACAGAGGAAGAGCACAGGTAGTAATAATGGTTCTTGATTTGTACTCTGAAACATCGATCCTAGGTTTCTTGCCTTGGGACACAAGATATTGACGATGCTTTGTCTCTGATCGTTTCTCTTCTCAGGAGATTCCTTCTAGGGCTTCTGAAGTACGGGAAAGGCGACTGGAGAAACATATCGAGAAACTTCGTTGTGTCGAAGACGCCGACGCAAGTGGCAAGTCACGCTCAGAAATACTACCAGAGACAGCTCTCTGGTGCTAAAGATAAACGACGACCGAGCATCCACGACATCACGACCGTTAATCTTCTGAACGCCAACTCAAGAAACAATCAGAGCCGTCCATTGCCTGATCATCGGTGCGGTTTTCTTCCTCAAACCCATCAGAACGCAGAGGTTTTCAGAGACAATGAAGCTGAAAATGCGGCATTTCTCGAACAGAACCTCTCTTCAGGTCTGCTGTTTTCGCCGACTTCGTCTCCAGATGACGACGACGCAGCTTTCCTGAACGGAATCAAGTTCTTCGGACAAAACACCTACAGTCCCGGAGCTTACAGGAACTCACTGTTCTTGTGAGGAATTTTGAACTGAAATCATGCATCAGATGCCGAAACCCAGTTCGTGTTTTGTGTGTGTTTCAACTCCAAATTATTATAGAACAATAGTTTCTCTTCACATTCTTAGAAATTATTATGATGGGATCATTGTGTATATCTGTGTGTATGTTTTTTCACTGTGTATCAGATTTTACATAAATATATTTAAGAGTTTTTACATAATATATGCGTTTAGAGGGAGCTTTCCTTCGATAACAAGGTCGAGATAACTCCTGATCTCCCGAAGACGTGCATCCAACCCCTTCAAAGCAGTAAGTTTTGCGGTGACCTGATGATGTCGGACAAAACTCGTGCAATTTCAGTTTCCTCGAGCATGAAGCAAGGATGTACATTACCATTTCAGTAAAGCATTTAAGGTGTGGCACAAAATTGAAGCATCGAGAATCGTAGAAAAGATGAAAACCTCGGTTGCAAGGGTGCTGATAGTTGTGTCTTTTACATCCCTGAGCAAATGCTCAACACCTGTTCATATCCGAACCGTATAAACCAGGCAAATGGAAATGATATATATATATATATATATATATATATGGTTTGGACACATGTGGGTGGACACAATACGAACAGAGTGGCCAAGGCTGACCACTAACTCATAACAAAAACAGTATAATAGAAGCTGAGTCTGAATTCCACTTGTGACCAAAGAATCACATTCTTTTAATCTGTTTTACCAACCTATATATATATATATGCCCAATTTAGTAGTAAGTATTAAATTCATTAAATAATTTTTTAAAGTGTTTTTAAAGGTGTCATTATAGATATTGGTGGCAAATGTGGCATAGCATATAAGATAAAAATAGGACCCAATCTTTCTAGCAATCGTATAGGATTTGCACCGGTAACTTTTGGCTTGAGTTCTATTATTCTTGTTTATTTTTATTTAAAAAAATATATACATTTTTTAAATTTTTTGTTTAATTTGACTGAAAAAAAATATATCTGATTGATTTTTAGATATCGATTTCAATTTGAATATAATTTATGTATTGTTAGATTTAGTTTTAAATCAAGATGATGATGATGTGTGTCCATTATATATGATAATGTGTAGAAATATTTAAACTTCAATTATTTACTGATATTATCCGTTTGATTTTGTAGTCTAAACGCAGCCTTTTAAAAGATTTTATTTTTGTATAAAAAGAAATCAGGAGCGAATCTTTACGCGTTTGGAGCTTTTATTTTTGTTTTAATCAAAATAATAAGAGGATACTGCTTTTTTTGTGTGAAAAGAAAAAAAAAGAAAATATTCTTTTGTAATATTATTTATCTTTCCGACCAAATACAAAAGGCCTTTCGATTTTAATCAAAAACAGTAATAAGCTTTAAGTATATAGCCTCTGCAAGGGAATCAAGCCTTATTATTTTCATGCAATTATAAAACCTGAGATAATTGATTTTGTCAGTCGCTTATAGAATTTAATTCATTATTATTATTATTATTTATTTTGAAATTGATGGGAAGTTTGAATAAACCCATGAAAGGTCTTATAACCAATAGTTATGTGGTTCGTCGAGTAATCATTGCACGAACCTCCAAAATACAAGCTTCCAAGGACTTCAATGCAATGATTGATGATTGTTTTAGTTGGTAGACTGAAAATTTTGAAGTTTTAGGGGTGTTCCCAGTCTAGTGGTTAGTGACAACTCCCTTCTACCAAGAGATTGTGGGTTCGAAATCCAGATATAGAAATTTCCTTTGAGTCGGTCAGCTTTACGAGGCTGGTTTACCTACTCTACATAGTTTGCCGACTACTGCGCAGGACGATGAGTTTTCTCAGGTCCGCTATACTGTCCTAATGTTGTTCTCGTCCGGTCCATGGATTGAGAGGCGTTCGGTGTCCAGTGTCCGACTCGAAGGGTTGTAGGATAGAGGTTTAATTTCCATCGTAACAAAAAAAAAAATTGAGGTTTCCAATTAGATTAATTTTATATTTTATGATCAAATTTGGTGTTTGATTCAATTCAAATTCATTTTCCATTAAAAACGAGATCTGTTTTCTAATAAAATTATTTTCGTTATTTTTAAATTCAAATTTATTGTTTCTTTGGTGAATATTGTTGATGGTTAATGTTGGAATTAGGTAAAGATCACACAAAAAATTTACAAGCGTGTTTAGAATAAATAAGCGCCATTAATTAAATTTTCTTCAGACATTCAAATTTTCTAAATTTTATTGATTTTCAAATTCTATATAATTCTGCTAAATTTTGTGCACTTTTTAGAATTATGAAAAAAATACATCTTGAATAATTGAGAAAGAAGGCCTTCTTCTTTTTTGGTTTGCCTCAAGAAATTAACCACGATCTTGACGGACATATTTTCGAGAAATTAAAGATGAGATAATACTAAATTTAAGACAAAATAATCAGAATATTAAACAAATTTCTTAATTACTTTTATTATTATTATTATTTAATTTTTTTCCAATTTTGTCCCGTTTTGGTTTCTCGTCGGCTCGCGTGGGATCCATCTACAGCCTCGCCGCTGCTAATACATACCAATTTTGAAATGAAAGGCCTTAATGCGATGCTGACGTCATACTTGTGTTCATATTCTATTTACACCGTCAATGTATACATGTAGATATGTTCAACATGACCATTATAGGACTTTATCCACACGGATTTTTTTTTTATAAATAAAAAACCATACACAATTGAAAGAAAGAAATAAATGATTGCATATTCAAGATTTGTATATTTGGTTTCCACATAAAATTATTATGGGAGATGAGTGTACATAATTTGTGGGTATTCTTAATCCAAAGGAAAACTAGTGAATGCTTTAGATTTTAAAATAATTCTTGACATAATAATATTTTTAGACCATATATCTATACACGTATATAATTTTGCGTTGAATGATAGCCATATCAAAATTAAATTGAATTCATTAAAATTTAGACACGTTAAAAATCAAATATATAACCAAAGCAAATTCATAATTATAAAACCAAAACAAAAAAATAAAATAAAAAATATGTTAATAAGGCTAATTTCATGCAAGAGAGGGTGGATATGTTCGAGCAAATTTCTCTTTATAACAGGACAAATAACACGTTGTACACATCATTTTTGTCCGCTTGTCCCCCCAATATTATATATATATATATATAACACTAACGTAGGCGTACGTAAGCATGGCATCATTTGGAGCGATGAACAATTTAAAAATTACGCAAAACGCCAAGTTCGCAACCTAATCCTAATCATGAGCAAATTTATATAATCAGCTAATTTACGTAAAGGATAAAAACTCATGATATTTATATAATATAACTCAAATATTTTAATACGCAACGCACATATATATACATATAGAAAAATATGTTTATATATTATAGATTCATAAAGATGGTCGTAGAAAGGGGCCATATTGCGTAATAAAGCACGTTCTTGGTTCGTTTTCCCTTATCGTCAAACATTTTTTTTTTTTGGGGGGAGGCTTACGCCATTCGTTTACTTTATTTTCCTTCAAAAAATCTCCTTTTTATTTTATTTTATTTGAATTGTAATTCCTTTTTCAAAGGACGAAAGCTCAAGAAAAGAAAAGAAAAAAGATCAACATGACAATTATTTGCTCTTTTCTTACAAAAAAAAATATATGCTTTTCTTTTCTTGCTTGGATATATCATAAAACTTTTTCGGGGTGAATACGATTTGTTGGACCGTATTACGATGTACAAAAACAGTGACAGTACTTGTGATATAACACATAGAATTATAGTTTAATTAAACAATAATGCGTTTTCTATTCTTTATTACCAAAATTGTACATGTGATAGATGATGTATCAAATACCAATCCCTCATATATCACATTAACGAGAGATGAGGGAAACCATTTTACCATTTGGATTTTGGGAAAATACCCAAAAGAAATTTCCATTCAATTACGGTAGCTAGCTCCGATCTGTTTGAATCGAAGCCAAAAGCAAATAGCATTAACACTTTACCTCATTGAAGTGAAATCAACATTGGGGATGTTTAAAATTGAACTTGTAAGCAGGATTCCACTGTCTAAAAGTTTCAAATCTTTCGGGGTCAAACTCGAATAATTTTGAGTTGGGCATGGGTACCGAATCCCGTTGATCCGGGAGCGTCCGACCCACAGAAACCCGAGATAAGGTCGGGTTCGGTTTCCGTCCAGCGAGAACCCAACCCACGGCTAACCCGAGATAAGGGGATGGGGATACTCAGGACCAAACCGAGGGGGACGGGGAGGCATGACGACGAGTGCAACGGCAGCACTACACAAAGACGTGTATCGTCCTCGTTGCCAACCTCGTATACTTTTCTCGACCTTCTCGAATGAAAACCTCACACACTCACACCTCGTCCTTCTCCATTTCTTGTTATTCTCGGTGACGTGACCCGTCACAATCTCACCCCTCATCGACTGGATACCTCGGGTACCCATCAAAGCCAAATACCCGAAAAAATCTCGGGTACCTACCCGTGCCCATCCCTACCTGGGTTAACATACTAGAAGATCAAATGAGAGTCTTGAGATGGTAGGACGAAGCGCGCACAATTATAAAGAACAAAAGAGTAATGATCGTCTTTGAAGAGACAAGATGGCCAAAATGAACATAAAACCTATCCTGTCTAGTTTGCCCAACTCTTGTCTTTGTTGTTCTGAACAACACAACATGTCCGAGGGGGGGGACAGTGAGCAAGTCACAGGTAACCGGTAACCCGACATATCCCCCGATTAGAACACCCGAGTGCAAAAAAAAAAATACGATGTTTAGCTCCCGCTTGTTGCGGGTATGGCAACAGGCTTCGAGTCCTCGGCCTTTTCATGTTCCTTGTTCAGCAACTGAAATGTAACATTTTTAGGTAAGATACCCTTCAAACAGTCAGAGAAACTGGTGCCTATAGATTTGATATTTCGGTTTTAACCTTGTCCTGACTCCTGTGTCGTAATCGAAACAAACGAACACGAGAGAAACAGTCAATAATCTAACCTTGTTGCTGATCAAGTTGTGGAGAGCAATTACACTTCGGATGAGCGAAGAAAGGTAGATGACCAGCATCATATCATTCGTTTTCACTGCAAAATATTGAATATTAATAAAGAAAACCTGTCAAGAAAATATTTGCTTGGGAAAAAAATATATGAAGGCAGAAGCTTACCTGCAAAAGCCTTAACCAACTCGTTCACGTTGAGGTTGGGAAGCAAGTTGAATATGTCCTACAAAAGATATCAGAGGAATATAGCATAAGATGAAAATACACAACAGCAGCCAAAGAGAATAGCAAAGAACAAAATCCAAACCATAGTTTGTAGAACGAAATCGTTTAATGAAAAGATAATAAAGAACATCCACGAGTTATAAGAACTCAAACCTGGAGATGGTATAAAATCTCATGGTTTAGAGGGAGCTTTCCTTCGATAACAAGGTCGAGATAACTCCTGATCTCCCGAAGACGTGCATCCAACCCCTTCAAAGCAGTAAGTTTTGCGGTGACCTGATGATGTCGGACAAAACTCGTGCAATTTCAGTTTCCTCGAGCATGAAGCAAGGATGTACATTACCATTTCAGTAAAGCATTTAAGGTGTGGCACAAAATTGAAGCATCGAGAATCGTAGAAAAGATGAAAACCTCGGTTGCAAGGGTGCTGATAGTTGTGTCTTTTACATCCCTGAGCAAATGCTCAACACCTGTTCATATCCGAACCGTATAAACCAGGCAAATGGAAATGAGACGATGATGTTCCTCGGAAACAATTACAAACGAGACGGTTCCATCATTCATGCACCAGAACAAATCCAACCATAATAAGACTTGAGACATACCAATTTCCTCGACTTCGTGAGCAGCAATTTCAGTGGGGACGTGGATGAAGACTTTCTGGCTTTTCTGAGTAGCATTCTGTATATATTATATATGTGCACATAGCAGTATATATCAACCTCGTAGAGGATATGAATACAAACACCAACTAACATAAAGATGAAAAGATAAATAATGTCTGACACAACTGAACCGTTTGAGAGGGTTAGAAAGAGCTCTTATTGTTACCTCCTTCACCTCTTCAACTGCATAGTATGCTTTTGTGGGTATCCCAAGTTCTTTAGGTTGGACATCAATTATGACCAACACTGGGTTCGGAACATAGCTGCAGCACCATATATAAGAGCTTAAACAAGAATTCGAACACAAAGCTACAGGGCCAAATGAAAAAGGCACGAGAGAGAGAGAAAGAAAGACCGCCTCTGCCAATAAAATAGTATGATATTAACTTAAACAGACCCTAACACCATCAACAGTACTATCAATTATGACCAGACTGACTCATGATTCAGGGCATTGAAATAATGCCGGTAGATAGGGTGTCTTACTTGTTAAACAATGCATGCACATCCAAATCATTCTCCCGAAGTTTAGGACCTGTGCTGTACCAACCCACAACATGCTCCTTCGCTGGAAGCAAAGATTTAGTTTGTTAAAACGAGATTCTATGCCTAGCAAAAGTAATCTAGTTAGCAATTTTACGAAGCAATACCATTGATTCTCTTGAACATATGGAACATCGACTCATGGTAGTTGTGATCAAGGAACCAAATGCTTGGGTCTTTGTCATCTTCCTCAAAGGGCACTGCAAATCAAACAAGCCATGTGTAAGCAACTGTTTCCTCGAAAAATGTCCAGAGCAATGAACACCCGTGAGCTAAAATGAACCCTAAAATCGACAAAGAGATTATCTTTTACTTTAGTTTGACTGAAACCTGAAAACCCTAAACGGGAAGTGAACCGAAAATCAAACTCCAAGCAGACAATTCAGCAACCACAACCCTAAACTGCTGCCAATTACTAAACTCACCATGAAGACCAAAAAGAATAAACCCACGAAACGCACAGAAACGAAGGAAATGTCAGACAAAAAGTACCCAAAAAGTACCTAAAATCGACAAAGAGATTATCTTTTACTTTAATTTGACTGAATCCTGAAAACCCTAAACGGGAAGTGAACCGAAAATCAAACTCCAAGCAGACAATTCAGTAACCACAACCCTAAATTGCTGCCAATTACTAGACCTATAAGAATGAACCCACGAAACGCACAGAAACGGAGGAAATGTCAGACAAAAAGTACCCAAAAAACCGATTTCCACGGCAACAAAACGCGAACAGATTCGGAGAGATCTGACATAAGATGAGGCGACGAGATCGAAGTACACGACAGGGGAAAAGGAGAATTAGGGCACACCTGCGTAGCTGTTGGTGACGTCAACGGTGCCGCGGTGGCTGGTCCCGAGCAAGACGCCGACGACGCGCTTGCGCGTGTCTTTGGCGACGCGGTTGTAGTGGTCGACGATGCTGAGCAATACGAGTGGGTGAACAATCACCTTCTCGATCGTCCTCGCCGATATCTGCTGCGTCTTTATCACATCCATCGCCGGAAAACCAGATTCCACGACGCGACTCGATCTTGGCCGGAGAGAATCGAATCAACTTGAACTCGCGAGTTTGCTTCGTCTCCAGGAAAAGCCCTTCAAAAATATTTCTTCTTTTGCTTTTCTATTTAATTTTCAGCAGTTGTCATTTCATTCAGATTTTTTTGGGCTCTCGAGGAAACTATTATGGGCCGTATATATTTACAATGGGCCTTTCAAAATGATGAGCCCAACTATATGACCCTTTGAGACTTTTTTCCACTAATTTTTAATTCGATTACAGAAAATAATAGACTGCATTTAAAAAAAATATATATATATATATATATATATATAATTAACTAACTTTCCTATGGCAAGTGACAAAAAACAAATATGAAGCAAATTTCAAAATCTAAACTGATTATGTGTTTAACAAACTAGGGTGTTCATTTATTTTGTTATTTAAAATCGAATCAATCTTAATAATACCAAATTAAATTTAATATAAAAACAAATATTGATTTTTAAAAACTTAAGAATTTTTCTCAATGAAATTTGAATCTAACAAAAAAAACCCAATAAGTACAGATTTTTTAAAATCGAAAAAAATTTAAAATCAATAATAATCTATCCAAACCCGAATCGAAAACCAAAATGCCAAAATCCATTAGCAACATTGCATATGTTTTGCAATGATAATATTATGGTTAGGTTAGGTAATATTAAAATGATAATATCAGAGCCAAAACAGAAACAAGTTCCCGTGCAACACGAACACAAACAACACGAGGGGACCCGACACCAAGTCCTGTAGGAGAACAATCGGAGAAGATGAACCAGAAGTGTCGAGTTGAATCGAGAACCTGCAACTATCCGAAGACGGATCGACGGTCGTGATCAGACCGAGCCCCCCAAAGTCGCAGCTCTCTGCCCTGTGATCGGTCTGCTGATACAAACTGTTGAACGCGTACGACACATTCCCTGGCCACGCCATGTCTGAGCACGACCCACCTGGCAGTATCGCCGTACAGTCTGCCATTGAACATGCCTCCATGGCTCGGGCCGAGGCATTGGACAGGTCTCTGTTGTTGTTGGCTACGCACCATTTCGGAGGAAGGTACTGCACGTTCTTCGCGTTCACGAGATTCCTCTTCGAGTTCGGGACGAAGCTGAGGTCACTGTACTTGGCTTGCCCGTCGAATGTGAACACTCCCCAGTTCCTCTCGAAGTTTCCGGAAGCCAAACTTCTTTGATCTTCGTCCAAGAGGCTGAAAACGTAGGTTTCGAGAGGAGGGTTATGTGGGCGGAGAGGAGAGCCCAAGTTTTTCTTCAGGTGACCCATCAGACCCTTCATGAAGGTCTCGGCTATCGATGATGTGGCATTGGCCGCTCCGTCTGTTGGCCAACCGATCTTTGACACGACGATATCTGTGTCCAGGAACCCGAGCTTGGCTAATGCCGAGACCAGAGTGTCGTAGCTCAGTTCAAAGCTGTTTCTGTAAACTCTGTGGCCGTCTTTATGGGGTTGTGCTGTTTCTTTGAAGAGGCTAAACTCGAGAGAGACGTTCTTGTTTTTGTGGAAAGTTAGGAAAGGAGAGATGGTCGCGAAGAATGGGGAATGATGCTTCGAGAGAAAGGAGAGGAGCTCGATCATCGTCTTGTTGAGCTCGTTCCTGAAGAGCCCGTCAGATGGCCGGCCAGATCCCGAGACGAAGGCGTCGAAACTACAAGGTACAACGACCTTCACTTCGCCGGCTAAGCTCGCCTTAGCGAGAGCGCTTTGGATGTTCATGGCCGCTCCAATGACAAAGGGCGTAAACTGATCGCCATAGCTTTGGAGAAATGGCTCGTCCCCTACCGCAATGTACCTGCAGATAATCCGAGCGACAGAAACCTTCAAAATACATGAATTTTGAGTCATACTGACAGAAATAGATCAAAGTAAGGAGCTGTAAATTTTACAAATCAGCTTCAAAACAAAAATCTACTGAGAATGTACTGATGATGAAACAAATTTGCGCGAGTGTTTCCCGCTATGGGTGCATATGTTCTGATGAAACCAAGCAACAGAGAGATTAGCAAACATGGAAGTTAGGGATTGCCCTCAATTTGAGGGAGAAAAGCCAATGAACTTTCAAGATACGCCCAAAGAAAAATTGGAAAAATGGGGCGACGTTGACAGGAACCCAGAAACCACGAAGCATTTTCCTGGGGAACAAACAGCTTACGAACACAAAATTGGAAGGAAAAAATGGAAACTTTCAGTTCCAGAACAAGAACCCAAATTCGAATTTCGTAGAAACCAGAACCCAGAACTTAGTCTAATTACAAGAAAAGTGGAAGAAACGAAGAACGCACTCGATTCGAACTTTGTCGAAGTAGCGAGTGACATTGTCATGAACCCAGCTCTCGGCGAGCTTCCTCGAGGCGTTCAAGCTCTTGAGCATGGAGTTAGGGATTCCGACAGCTACACCGATGTTGGACCCAGAAAGAGCTCGGAGAACGTCTGGGTCTGCATCGGAGAGCTTCACTTTGGAAATGCCGTTGGATTTCAGGAGCTCCACGACCTTCGGCGGCGGAAGAGGGTGCGACGCCGCCGTGCCCCAGTTCACGCCTACGGCTCCGGCCACCGTAAACTCCATCGTAACGGCGAGGAAGATGAGAAATAGCTGAAATCTCACATCCATCACCGGGAAATTCAAACTACCCGGCACGATTGCATAGAACCCCCGAGCTCGTCGCCTTCTCCCTCCTCCAGGAAAAAGCCCTGCAAAAATCTCGTTATTTCTCTTTTATTTTTTTTATTTCTTTTGAAAAAATGAATATATTTGCGACTTCAAACAGAATTATAATGGGCCTTTAGCAATTGGGCCTAATTGGGCTTTTGTAAATGTCCAATATCAAGAGGCCTATTTTCTATATCATCCCCACAAAGAGATCGGCGAAAACGTCGTCGTGTTGGTTTCTTGTAAAAGATGACATTTATACGGATCAAGAATAGCCCAGATGTCCAAACCGATTACTATATTATTAATATATAGTTTATTTCATTTTCAGCTACAGTTTGGTGACATGCATGTTTTTACATAAACTATGGCCATCCCAATATAAAAGCATATCCTCACAGTATATTCCATCTCATCATCATGTTCATCCAACTTCTTCTACCTTTTTTTAATTTATTTATTATCAACTTATAATATATATATATATATATATAAGACGAAAAAGATAAACCTTTGACTTGTGCCAATCACCAAATGAAATATTATTCGGAAAAAATAACAATGAACCAATCTTTTTTTTTTTTTATAAGCGGGTATCCAAATACTAAACTCCAAACTAATCTTAGGAACGGGAAACAATAACTCTCCGTATTTGAGGTTCGAATTCGAAGTGGAATAAACTATTTACGTTTTATTTCACCGGTTGAACTACTTAAACAATGAATCAATCTTGATATATAATCCACACAAGGCAATCCAAATTTGGAGTGCCATTGGCATTGGCCCACTAAGATATATATATATATAATGTGTATAGTATACAATATACATATATATATATATGACCTATTAGTTGGTAGTTCAGTGACGGAGAGATAGATAAAATGATTTCGAGATTTTGGATTCGATTCGCAATTAATTGTGTGATTAAAGACTGATTCCAAGAGTTTAAACATTGGGATTATAATATATATATACACACACGATGGAGTAGTAGTTAGTGATAATAAAAATGTACACATTTAATGCAGAAGGATACAACAACAAAACACCACCAACCAGCTCACAAGAAAATTCAAAGAGACAAAAACAAGGTAAAAAATTACAACGAAAACGGGCCATGCACATCGATTTTTTCGTTGTTATTTTTTCCAAATAAAAAGAGATATTATTTCACCATAAAACCATTAATGATAATAAGATTTTTTTTCAAAATATTTATACAAAGGAGTGATGATTAATTCATTTGAAGGGGATGGCCCGGATCACAACTTGGTGGTACAACGCCGCCAGCGCCGCTCCGATGAACGGCCCCACCCAGAAAATCCACTGTTCCAATTTTGTTTTCCCCACAATTAATTAGTTAAATAAAGATATTCTATAAAAACAATGAAAGTTTTTATAAAAAAAAAATTATAAATAGAGATGATTAAGAGGCTTACGTGGTCATCCCATGCATGGTCCTTGTTGTAGACGATCGCGGCTCCGAGACTCCTAGCCGGGTTGATGCCGGTTCCGGTGATCGGAATCGTCGCCAAGTGCACCAGGAACACCGCGAACCCGATCGGCAGTGGCGCCAAAATCTGCCATTACGACCAATACAAAATCTCTTTTAGCATCGTAACACAGACCAAACTTGACATGTGTGTGTTATACATGCGATGTGGTATGTCCGGTAATAGTGGTAAAATCGCCATTTTTCATGGCTATTTCGGTTTGGTCATGCAAAATTGTATGGGTTCGAATTGAATTTGATATAAAACCTGAAATATTTTTTATAATGTTTATTAAACCTGAAAAATCGAAAATCCGATCATAATATAAACATGACCGAATTAAATATTTTTTTAAACTAATTTTTTATTAATAAAAAAATAAATCCCAACAAATCCGAAATGAAAAATCACGTATATTTTTTTATCAAAACTGAAAAAAATGTAAACATAATATAAAACTAATCGAAAACAAAATTAATTTTTGGGAAATAAGTATAATTATCAATAAAAACGAAATTCAATATAAAAACAAAACAGATATATATATATATTTTTTTTAACCGAACAAAACTTCAACCAAAACTCTAAATATCCATCTCTATACTAACCACTAAATCTGAAAACATCATTATAAATTATATTAAGAACAATTAAATTACCGGAACATGAGAATCTCTGGCGCTACGCTTGGCGTCAGTAGCGGAGAAGACGGTGTAGACGAGGACAAAGGTACCGATGATCTCGGCGCCGAGGCCGTCGCCCTTGGTGTAGCCATGGTTCACGACGTTGGCTCCGCCGCCGAGGCTTTGGAAGTTGGATTTGCCCTGAAAGCCCTTCACGACGCCAGCCCCGCAGATGGCTCCAAGGCACTGCATGACCATGTAGAACACCGCCCTCGTCAGCGACAGCTTCCGAGCCAGGAACAGTCCCAGCGTCACTGCCGGGTTTATATGCCCGCCCGATATCCCCGCCGTGCAGTACACCAGAGCGAATATCATTCCTCCGAACGCCCATGCGATTCCTTTTATGTTGAAATATTTGTCAATAAGATGTCATCATAAGTTACCATTAATTACGAAGAACCCACATATAGAATAAATATATATATATATATATGTGTATGTGTGTGTGTATTGGATTCCGCCCGTGGCACACAAATGTTATCATGTGTTATTAAAATGATCATAATTTTTTTAAATTTCTATATTACCAAAAATTACAGAGAATTTACATAATACTAGAGTTACTATACAGATATATATACGTATGCCGACTGCGGCATGCATAGCGTATAATGTCATCATACGCTATTAAAATGATCATAATATAAAATCTCTAACTTACATACAAAACCCACAAATTATATAACACTAAATTAACTTTCGGTAAATACAATATAAGTATATATATATATATATGTGTGTGTGTGTACCTTGGATGCCGACGGTGGCACACATGGAGTCACCGCGCTTAACGCCCATAACGGTGAGGATGGAGATGTAGAGGAAGAGGAAAGTGGCGATAAATTCGGCTATGCCGGCTCGGTAGAATGACCACGACGTCAGCTCTCCCGCCTCGAAGAGTGGCGCCGGCGGCGGCTCCTTGTAGTCCTTGCCCTCGTCCTGGCTCTGAGCCGCCGTCCCGATTGGTTGCCTCTCCGGGAACTTGTTGGCTCCGACCCTCACGTCCTCTTCTTTGCCCTCCATGTCGTTGCTGCTCTGTGTTTTTCCGGTGGTCGGAAGATGGGATCTTGGCCGTTGGTTTTTGTGTGTGTGTTTGGATCGGACGGTGGTGGTTTTGTGGGGTTATATAGAGGGAGAGATTTTGGTGCGAGGGGATAGAGGATGAGAGATGGTGGGACCCTTTTGCTTAATTGTAATTAAGATTAGTTTAATTTGTAATTATTGTTAAGTGAGCTATCAGTCGTTTTCTTTTTCAGCGCCCTTTTGTTTATAATACATTATTTTATGCAATAATTTTGTTTGGGAAAGTTTTTTTTTTCATTTAAAAAACTTTATCATCTAATTTCAACAACAAAAAAAAGAAAATAGTTAATTCACTTCTCTTTCGTTGACGATCATAAAATAAATTTAAAAAAAAAAACAAGTTAACCCTCAAGTAAGTCCCTAAATTTTTTATTTTTGGTTTAGTCATATATAAAATAAATGAATACATACATGATACATCTGTAGTCCAGAATTGTGTTATTATGGATTTGCACCATAATTTAGATATCATCTACATGGTGCGAGTTCATAAAATGGACTATGGGTAGACAATTTCAATCGTATATGAATTTGATATTATTAATGATACGAACACAATATATAACAGTTCTTCCAGTGACAAATATATACACAAAATATTGATTACAAAATTCAAGGCTGATGTTTGCTAGTAACCACCCGCCACCGTCCATTATATAATATAACCAAGACATTAGTGTATAATTTAATCAAGATTCAGAAAATACTTTCCACTTGGAAAATCGCATATAAAACGAAATAGAATATTACAAGAAAATCGACACATAGATGGACTTGAAACGTAATGAACTTTATAAGATTAAACTCGTAATTCTGTATGTATTTTCAACGTTTGTTAGTAAACTTTACAGGTAAAGTTGTGAATTAAGTTAATATAAAAGTGATTAATCATGTAATGACAGCTTAACATATGGTTATAATTAGCGAGACCGGCATGCATGGATAACATATATACCGATTCCTGTATAATATATGGTTTTAGGTTTCATCATGATGATGTAATGTGACCTGGCGCGTATAAACTTTAGGATAAAGTAGCATGTCGATATCCAATATAGATAATGTTGAAAATACTACATTATGCATCATGTAATGAAGGTAATACAATATATAATATTAGAAATAATTAATCATAACGAAGTGGACCGAACACAAAACTAAATTGAGTAGTTTTTTTTTTACCATCATCTAATGCGATAGTTTGCTTATTTAGGGTTTATAGTTTGAATGGTAGGTAAATTGTATATGGTTCGAATATAACAGTTACAAAAGAATCATCTTGAAATATTTTAGTTTTTGGTTATATTCCATTTTACACACCTTGAAATTTAATTTCCATTTTTCTTATAAAAAATTATATCAATTCGATTTCTACCCATTTTCCAGTTTGTATTTTATTAAAAAAAGTATTTATTTAAAAAATTTGTTTTGTTCGTTTTTTCTAATCTTATACCCAAACTTGATTAATTTAGTTATAATAAAATCACATTAAATCAGTTTTAAAAATAAAATTCGGTTAAAATAGGATTATATGACCATACGTGTTATTCAATTCATTTCACTAGTACATATTTGAAAATTGAACCCAAATACCTAATCTAACTTTGTAAAAATAAAATAAAAGTTGGGATTCGCAAACACCGCATTAAACTTTATTTTTTATGAATAGTGGTAATAATTTTAATTCAAATAGCCTCCTCCGAAAAGCTAATTTTACATTAGTGATGGAACATGATACAGTATTAACTCCATATTATGAAATATTTTGTTATTTGTTTACTCGTATTATATTTCACGTAATAATAAAAATATATACATCAGGAAATGAAAATACGACAACGCAGGAAATCCCACCTAAGACATAATTACGTTTAGACATAATTAAAACGTATTAAAAAGCGTGGTTTGTGAAAGAGATAATCATTCACATCTGATGATTAAAGGTTAGTTAATTAAATAGAAATTACTTAAACTTTGCCTAATAATACTGAGTTGTCTTTGTCGTTGGAGTTTGGACCGACTTGCCCCTCTCTCTCCTAATATTACGACTTAGTTTATTAACTGCATTATCATCTCTGAAACTTTAATGGTCTGCTCTTGTTACGTATACATACACACGCACATATATGTATCTATGTATATACTACACACATATATATGTATTTCCCAATAGATATTATATTCTTTTGAATAGAGTTGGACGTATGAAAATTCGATTTTGGGTTTGGTTTATTAGGTTTTAATTTTCATTATTTGGTTTAGAAAAAAAAATCTGAACATAACATTTTTATTAAAAAAATGGATCCCGATTTTTAGTTTAGAGTCTTCTTGCTCCATCGATGAACGGATCCCGATTTTTTTAGTAGATGATCCGACGGTCAGCGTCTTCTTGCTCCATTAGATGATCTAACGGTTATAAAGCGTTGTAAGGATGATGGGCTTTTCACAAAATGAGGCCCAAGTTTAGTATTCATATTCTCGGCCCATTCTAATGAATGAATTCTAAACGTCGTGCACTTGGACCACCGAATCAACAAAACGGCACGCGGTTCGGTGGCTGGCTAAACAGCAAGATGTCCCGCTGCGAAACATAAAGGCGACACGCAGTTCTCTGTCGTCCTCCTCCCTCCTGTTTTGGTCCCTTGTAGTTTCGCATGATGGATCTCCCCATTCCTTCTGGAACGGTTTGCTACTGAATAAGCTCGTCCGGCTGATCGAATCCTGGCCGTCCGATGGCGTCGACGTGCAGAGATCGTACGGCGGAGTTCCGGTCGCTGTCGCAGACGTTGAAGAAGATCGGAGCGGTCTCGACCGCTCATCAAACTGAACATGATCCTGCATCCTCCAAACATGGCTCTTCAAGATCCGAATTCAACCGGAAAGCTTCTCGGATCGGGTTAGGTATCCACGAAACGTCTCAGAAGATCGCCAGGCTCGCCAAATGTACGATTCAGATCTTTCTCGCTGTTGTTTTTCGTCTCTGTTTTTTTTTCTTAATTAGCTTTGATCTCGTTTGGGTTGTTTGGTTGCTGAGAAAACGAGAGAAATTTAGGGAATTCGGAAGGGTTGGTGGAATTCAGCTCAGGGTTTTGAATGTCTAAACGAGATTGTCCATTTGTTGTTAGATAAGACACGGATTTGGCAGCTTGCTTGTGGAAAGTAGTAACAAATACATTTCGATGATGGAATTTTATGCAATCATGTGATTTTGAAAAGGATGAATGATAATGTATCTGTCATTCAATAGACTTATGGGTTCTTGCTTGATTTGAGATAGTTCAGCTTGCGGACATGGTTCTTAGAACATGGAAAATTCCAAGTGTCATGCTCTGGAACTCTTTTGCTTCAAGCATCTGTCTATTATGAGGACAAGGAAAAAAACCATGCTACTGATGATGATCCTTGAAATTTTTGTAGATGTAGTGATTGTAATTCGGATGGTGTTTTTTTACTGGGTATATGTTTATCTGCAAATATGTTGAATTTGCAGTGGCAAAGCAATCGTCAATGTTCAATGACCGGACTGTGGAAATACAGGAGTTGACTGCGTTGATAAGGAACGATATCACGGGACTGAATATGGGGCTGTCTGATCTGCAAACCCTTCAAAACATGGAGATCGCTGATGGGAACTATTCAGAGGACAGGGCTGGCCATTCCACAGCTGTTTGTGATGACTTGAAAACCAGACTCATGGGTGCTACTAAGCAGCTTCAAGATGTATTGACTACGAGATCTGAGGTCGGTTCTGTTAATTTCCAACTTATTATCTATTCAGTCCTTTACTCCAAAGGTAGACACTTTCTTATTAAAAAAATGCCTGTGGCCATGCAGAACATCAAAGCTCATGAAAGTCGGAAACAAATATTTTCTACGAAAAATGCATCGAGAGATAGTACTCCTCCTCAGCATAATGTAAAAACTTTGACCGAGCCTCCTCCTTGGTCAAGCCCATCAAATCCATCCAACGACTTTCAACCATCGATGTGAGTTTTGTTTTCGAAGTTTAGCCAATATGCCATTTGGGGATCTTGCCCGCCCTTACTACTTAAAGTACACGTTATTATAATTTGGCGAAAACAATATTGGACATGTCATCTTCATGGTAATCTTTGAACTCTACATCCTCCGCCATTCAGGTGTCTCTGTCTTAGGTTGATCAAGAGAACATTGCATTTGACAGATCATATGTACCAGCTTGAAATTATAAACGAGTAATCTGTTCTAAAAATAATTACTTCAGTGAAGGAAATCTGAATAGGTTTCTCTTCCGTATGCTAGCAGATCACCGCCAAACAATGGAGCAGCTCCTATCAACCATCTGAGGTAAGCCTTGTTCTTAGAGCTAACAAATCAACTCTTGGTACTTACCCTTTTCCATTTAGTACAATTTTCTCGTTTTCTTTCATGATCATTCATCTCTAAAATGAAGTTGCGCACTTGAAAGTTGAAGCCTTTACGCTTGCTGTTTCGATTTACCTTAATATGCTGTCTGTCCTTGCAATGTTTGGCTCGTTTATGCTAATGGTATCTCATGCCATGCCCTAAACAGACGAAGACCCGTCATAGACAATGCTTCTTCCAACCAAATGGAGATGTCCATGTTACAGCAGACAGTCCCGAGGCAGGAGAGCTATGCCCAAAGCCGAGCCACCGCACTTCACAGCGTAGAATCCACCATAACTGAGCTGAGTGGTATCTTCACCCATCTGGCCACCATGGTCACACAACAGGGAGAACTAGCTATCAGGTTCTAATGCTCTCTCCTCCCACCACCCTCTTAATTATACATTTAAGTTCGTTTCGAGAATCTTAAGTATCAATTTGCCTGAGACAGAATCGATGACAATATGGACGAGTCGTTAGCTAACGTGGACGGAGCTCATAGCTCTCTTCTGAGGCACCTTAACCGGATTTCTTCGAACCGGTGGCTCATGATCAAGATATTTGCTGTTGTGATCTTGTTCCTTGTTGTTTTCATCTTCTTGGTGGCATGACATGAGATCAGACACAAAGTATAGCTTTGAGGCCCTCTTTGCTCTGGCATGGTGGTGGAATGCAATGTATTATAGATTGATATAGTTAGAACTATATTCTATAATAATTCAATTGAGACCTTTTTTGGTACACGAATATTCAATATTATTTTTTTAAATCCAGTGTAATTATACGAATTTGTTATCTATTCCCAAATTATCATACGAATTTTACAAAGATTCCTAAAACCACACATCATTTGATGACGTTTTTTTAATATAAACGTAGTAGTTTTTTTTACAAGTTTTTGTAAGATTACGTGTATTTTTTTTAAATAAAAAACATTCTTATAAAATTCATGGATTTGACTAGGAGTTGATAAAATTTTGTGTATTTTTATCATAATTTTAAAATTCGTGAATTACTTGGGAGTTAAATAACATTTTTTTTCTCCCAATTTTGCACCATCTCTTATTTATAAAATTAGTTTATCTAAAGAACCATAGACTATAGAGAACACGCGTGATGTTTTGCTTAGTATAAGTGATGTGTTCCATTATTACAAATGGGACCAAATTCCTTAAATAAATTGGTATAGCATCTTTGTATATGAGGGACATGAGAAAATTATTACGATGGATTTCATTGTTACGTCATTTTAGAAATTAGCAAAATATCAATATCGCGACATATGCATAATTTTAGAAATTAAATTAAATAGAAGGAATTGCAATTTATTATCAAACATGTCCATCAATGTCTTCCTCTATCGATTGTATACGTAACATAGGTTTTGGGTTCGGAGCCTCCAAATTGGCGGCTAAAAGAATGGACATTGGGGATATACGTCATGTCTCTGTTCTATTATTTTCATATCCATTTATTTAAATTCAATTAGAATTTTGTTTTAAAAATTGTTTTGATTATTTTTTTATTAATTCATTTTTAAAATATATTCAATTGATTTGTGGTCCGAAATATCCGCTGAACAAATCTTCTAGAATGGCAGCTCAAATAAATAAATAAAAAGTGTGCATTTTCTTTATTTTTATGCATCTTTTTTATTTTATAACTCGGTAACAAAATATTAAAAACCGACCATAAATACAACGTTACAGATTAGGAATCAACTGTTAATCCCCTTAAATATCCTTTATATTAAGTGCATGATTGATAACAATGAGAACATATATTATTTCCATGATAAATAATAACCTAATTTAGAAAAAAACTATTTTTACTATTTTTTTTTGTCAAAGGTTGGTATTTCATTAACTTTCAAAACTGTACATGTAGATTTATCCGCTATTTCATTAACTATTTTTACTATTTGTATTTATTCATACCTTTTTATAAGTTAATATTTATTTTGATAAATAAATTAAATATGCAAGCACGAAAAATAAAAAGCGATTATGTTCAAGAATGCAAACGAGGTTGACGGATTTCGAATAGATGGAATTAGGCAAATTAAAGGTTATGATTTGACAAATATTTAGCTTCTAATAATCTGGTTTATGTTTCATAAATTATCGGACTTTTTATGTTTCGTTTAATTGGATAAATAACCACAAACATAATGACAGTCTATTAAGGAAATCAAGAAATTGAAATTTCTAAAACGTAAACTCTAATTTAGTCCACCGTAAAACACAATTTTACTTGCCAAATCTCAAGAAAAATCCATAAATATAAAAATATAAAAATAAAATATATAAAAACTCTTAAATAATATATCATTTTTCTATATAAACACATCAACTATTTTTTCTGGTTACATGATGACGATGATAATAATAACTGTATCTAATTTTCAACAATTTTTTTTCAAAATATAAATATTTGAAACTATTATCTGTAATCCTATCATACAAATTTAAAAATATTAATCTATCGTTTTTATTGTGAAGTGTTGATAAACCGCATGTTTTTCATGCGTGGCTTTGTTTGGTATCACCTTCCAAGCATGTTGGCTCCAAGTATTCATAGTTGACAATTCTTTATTTCAATTTTTATATTATTTACAACCTTTGATAATGGGTTTAAGGTACATAAACATGTTTAATTATTATTAAATCATTACTTTATTTGCTTATTTTGATTAAGTTTTACTTGCCAACATCTAGTTCATCTTGAATTGTTTTATATAACAATTTATGAAATATGTTTTCTATCTATTTAAATAAATATTTTCATTTAATTTTAACTCGAAAAATTTATATAATCAAGGTGGTAAGAAAACCTCAATAATAAAAAAAAGTTATAGATCCCCTACTACCACAACCATTCATTTCGTAGTTCTAACTTCTAATGAACATTTAAGCTGTGAAATTAAGCCTAATTTTTTTTTATTATACACCCAATTGATTCCTAAAATTCGAATAATTTGGTATCCATTAGACACGTATCACAATTGAAGAAAGCAATCTATATAATTTATATAAATGTCCATAAATATAAGCTGCATATACTCTAATTAAAAAGTGATTTTTTAAGAAAGAATTGAAAAAAAAAAACTGGGGTTAAAATGGGCCTTATTTTTTACCAAAAAAATTCACGTTTAAATGCTTTTCCAATTGTTGTAGCGGCGATGCATGCACGAGACTCGGAGATTTGAAAATCTAATCTAAAATATAAAAACAGGTGGAGGGTATAATCGTAAAATCATATTTGTCACGTGTTTATAAATATGTCGGGGCGTGTATTATCCTTCACCCGAATTAGAGTATTCAGCCGTCGCTAAATCCCTTCCGATCATCGCTTATCAATCTCGGAAGCTAAATCTCCCGTGCTGAATCTCCTGCCTCCGCCGACAATGTCCGCGACGATTTCCTCCATGAATGCCGCGGCGGCTATGCAATCCCTGAGCTTTTCTCGGCGGCTCGCCCCGTCTTCTCGCCGGATCTCCTCGCCGCCGGTGACCGTCTCCGGAGTCTCTGGCAGAATCTCCGGCAAAGTCCCTTCATTTCGCTCGATCAAATGCGTTACTGTCTCGTCAGAGGCTTCGATAGGTGAAGTAACGCTCTTC